AGACATTTGATCACGCACAAAGTTCATGTGGAGCAGAAGCGGTCGGGCCACGGCAGGTGGAACGTTCCTAGCCTACATGAAGTGTAACATTAATATGTTACTGGACACGCTGGTCTGGTTGGTTAGACCAGTGTTTGAAGTGGAAAACACACACACACACACACACACACACACACACACACACACACACACACACACACACACACACACACACACACACACCAATTAAAATAATGCTGATAGCGTGGACTAGAAGACAGGTGATGGTTTACGTATTTAAATGATGATCAGGCTGCTGTAAAATGTAATCTCCATCCACATCCAGACAGAATGATCCTCTATTCTTTCTCTATTTGTTCTTCTCTTGTCTGGGCTGACGTAGCTGACGGTGCGCGGCGCGCCTAACTAGCGGCTGAAGCACATTTTACGCATTTGGAGAGGTGGGCTGGATGCTTTGCTTTTACTGGAAGATGGTCCACTTAACGCACGGGTGTAGACTACATATTAATGACAAATGAATGAAAATTAAATTGTGAGTTTTTACTTCATATTTTATAAATAAAAATGACGGGGAACACATTTATGACGTCTTTTTAAACAAAGTTTTCTAGCGCGACCTGCCTGCTTCACTTAAGTCACTGCTTATTAAGGTCCGTCCAGAATTACCGTGGCCCACCCAAAAATGAAAACCTGGCGCCGCGCCTGTTATAAACCTCTGCAAATTGTTGTTCTTCACTTTATCAAACTCAGACTTTGTACAGCTAATGTCAAGATGTAAAATTATGAATTCAGTCGAGCTCTTCCGTCCCTCCCTCTCCTGCTCTCCTGGAAACCCGACATCGGCTGTCAGAATAGGGGAGGTGAAGAAGGAGATGAGGCCAACAGAGTGAGTGCGACATAAAGAAACCAGATTGGTGTGGAGGTGAGCAAACAGCTGGAAAAGTGTGGGTGTTGAATCCCCCACGGGTGCGACGCCCATGCGAGCGACCGGTACCGGCTGCTGTCACCTGTTGTGAGCAGCTCTCTGCTGTCTGAGGGTAGGCCCCGCCCACAACGCTGCGGCCGCTGTGGCTCCCAGTGTTTTCTTTACTGTGGGAAATGGGTAATAATGGCTCTTTGATGGGAACAGGTTGCCGACCCCTGGTATAAGATCTGAGCTGGTAAAACAAAAATCCTCATCAGCAGGCTTTTTTGAAAGTGGGGGGGACACAGCTGCCAATGTCCCCGGCGTCACCGGTTAAAATGACACCTATGTCTCTGACTCAGAAGCTCCGGTGTTGTGCACAGTTAACTCCGGTTGCAGCTAGGTTGCTACCTCCGTTAGCTTAGCTCCCACCTCCGTGTTAGCTTTGGGTTAGCTTGTAGCTACATCGCTTCTGTTCGACGGGTGTCGTCATTTGATCCCAGCCTTACAGCCCCACCCTCAGCTCCACCTCTTTTCCCTTTTATGGAATTGTCTGGGCTTGACAGAACCTGTGACACGGTCAAAATGGCGGTGGTGGCCAACCCCCATTTTGGCTCAAAAACTTATAATTGGAGCCTATGGAAACACATTGTCCAGTATATATGTCGATGGGCGTGACTCATGGTGGCCAGGAAGATTGCACGTCCACAGTGGTCATCCCAAAGGCTGCAGGTGGATTCCCCTTTGGACTGGTACACACCAGCCAAAATCAGGAGCCCGATGTATGCTCTCACTGCGATGTCATCAATATCCCACCAGTTCTTCACCACACGTCTTCCATTTAGATTTGTCATGTTGACGATGATTTCAATCATTTCTGGAGTGAAGAATAAATCAAAGGAGGATACCACGTCGTAAATACGTGTGATGGCGCAACGCGTTGGCCCAGGATTCAAACGTCTCGCAGCAGGAACATAGTGGGAAGTATCTGCGTTAGTAAGAAACAGGACTTGCCCACTTTTAGAAATCCAATCTGGAGCAGGATCCGTTGTCCTCCCTTCTCTTTCACTGGACAGGTCAGGAGTGTCGTCAAGGAAACAGAATGGTCTGATTCCACCTCAAAGTCCACTGAAGATGTTTCACTCTCATAGTTTTCTCCAGGAGTATCAGGCTGCAGGAGCTGATCCAGAACTTGTTCCACAGAGAGATGCCTCTTCATTTAGCTCCGTGGCTTTCACAGAAGTGAAATGACCAGATAACCAGACTACAAGGAGTTTGAATGTGGCAGGTGCATAAACATACTAATTGTTTTGGTTTTCTACACTTTGAAGTTCAGTGGGAGAGTGAAATGTGTAAACTTTCTCACCAGGGCAACATATGAAGAAATGACTGAATTTGGTGGTGAACAGTAAAAATCATAAATTTGACTACTTTTGTCCAAAATGAAACCATATCATCACAGAAAGCATGACTGTTTGTTGCAGATGATGCAGGATCAAAAACTGTGGTTTGCATTGAAGTCAATGGGACGTTTTTGTCCTCTAATGGCTCGAGTGTACAGTAAATTTTAAATCTGTTGCGATCTAAAAACTGTAAATGCAAAAAATTCTAAATTTGAGATAATTCATAACATAATCAAGACTGATTTGTACTAAACGCCCCAGGCAAAAACAACGTCTTTCTTAGAAAATAACTCATTTTTAGTGGGGTTTATTTTTTTTTTCATAATTACATCAATGACTTTGAGTTTTCAAACTGATATTTCAAGGGTTAAAAGCCTCAAAATGATGGATTTTTTATGTTTGAGCAGGGCTGAAGTTGTTCAACAGATCTTTGAAAAAAAGCTAAAAAAGTATTCATGTATACATTTTTTATAGCCACTTTTACAAGCGGACATTTTTGTCCTCGAAAACCTCGTGTAGTGTTTTTTTTCGTAGTGTTCCCTTGGTCTATTTTAAAAATTCCAAATTGAATTTCAAAATTTGTCTAGAGAGAGGTTTTGCGACAAAACTTTGCACCAAATGCACAAACGGTGGTGAAACGGCATCAAAAAGAAAAACAAAAAATTGCCCAAATGGACTCAAATGTCCCTAATGAAGCCTGAGGGTTAAGACATAGCAGAAAAAACTGAACCTATAGATTTTTCAAAAGTCTAATGTTGTGAGTGTGGCTAAGCCTCAAACATCACCTGTCACCACACCATGTTTTATGGGCTCGACACACGGGAGGCAACATCGCCTCTCCTCCATTCATTTTCAATGAGACATGCTCGACAAAGCGATAATCGCGGGTCTCCCTCCTACCAAGCGAAACGCGAAAAACGTGTGTGTGAAATTTTGCGCACGTGCACGTGTCGTGCACGGATGACCCAGCGACGCGATCCCAGAAAGTTGAAACATTTGCAACTTTTCATCGCTGTCGCTCGGACGAGGACCAATCAACGGAGGTTTCATTCACTGACCAATGAGCGGACAGGATGCTCCGTACATCTCCGAGCAAACATGGAGGAGAAGTTGATTATTATTATGTTTTATAGTAAAATCAGGAGTAAGATTTCACATAACTCTAGCAGCACCTTGTGAAACATCATATCTACCGCTTTATTAACTCTGAACCGCTTAAATAACCTTAATTCCCTCCAACCTGACACAGCATTTCAGGTGATTGATACAAAACCAAACCTCAATAGATATAAACCTGAAAATTGGGTGGACGTGGCTTTCTTTTTGCAATGGCATCCCTTAGGTCCATTAAAAGTGTTAGCCCCAAGCCATGCTTTGACTGATAATCGTTAAATTTTGTACCCTTATGTAATGACCTGGGATCTACAAAAATGTCTCCTGGAGCCATGCTCCACTTACCACAGGAAGTTGGCCAATTTGGTGTTTTTTGCACACGCTGAAGGTACGCAACATACCCCCAAAGTTCTGTTATAATAATTCTCATATTATGATTGTGTGGCCAATCAGGACAAAATAGGTTAAGAGGTGTTAACAAACAAACCTCAGAACACACGCTTTTTCCAGTTACAAAAGAAGCTCTGATTTGTAGATTAGATGTGCATGCAATTACTTTAACTTTATTATCTTGTCATGTGTGTGAGTGTGTGAGCTCGTCAAGCCACGTACGCTGATTAAATATGTGGGTGATATATTTCATTTCATCCTTATTTTTCTAAGCACAGATGAATCAACCTTATTAATTTAAGCAAAGATTAATCAAAACATTTCATTGAGCACCTTGTCCATTCATTATATGATCAATTAACTCATATTGTTCCTTTCATTGTGATTTAAATATAAAAGTTCATCTTTTGTTCTGTGAAGCAAGGAATAGATAATAGCAGCTTGGCAGAGAAGAACCTTGGGAAGGGAGCATGTTGACAATGTTGTGATCGCGAGATGTCAACATGCACTTGCAGAATCTTTCTAGCAGCTTGGCAAGTTAGATGGGAAGAAGCACAGAGGCAGATTAATGTCTGAAGATGACGTGTTTCTGAAAAGGCCAAAACAGATGAAAAACTGACCATTTCTGGATGCTACATGGGTTATTATACTGCCTAGTGGTGAGGTACAGAGTTTGTTGGCAGGCTAGGAGGAAAGGCTTAGTCAGAGTGAGGTGTGGATGAGGTGACAGCCCGCAATGATCGTGGTTAAAGGCGTTGAGGTGTCTGGGGTGTGGCAACGGTCGTTCGCCACCAGTCGCAGACAGGTGGGGTGGGAGATCGTGGGGGGTGGGGAGGGAGGGAGAGAGGGAGAGCAGCTTTGTTGCGAGGGCCGAACGACGCTGCTTGCATCTTTAATTTTAGATTGTTGTTGTTAAAGGGAACCAAAACAAAATGCAGGGCTGAATAATTTCTTCATCTGGAAGAAAGCTTCGTTAAACTACTAGAAGTTGGATTCTCTGTTTGAAAGGGGACTGTTCGACTTTAGAAATGTGTGCTAGGAGTTCCAGTAATGAAAACAAATGTCTTTTTTAACAGGACAAAATAAGCAAACATGAACTGAGTTCTAAGATTGAAGTAAATAAATAAACTCAATAAAACAACACCTTTGTTTCCTCATAACAAACACCACTGAACGAATGTGTTTTCTAGGTGGCTGAACTGGAAGCACATGGAGGACAAGGACCCAGTGACTTCCTAAAGGATGAGCTGACGCAGTCTCTAGAGGATCTGGAGGCCCTACTCAAGGCCAAGGATGAGGTGGGAAAGTGCTTTGTTTGGTCCACTTGCTAATTTAGCTTCATGAAAAATTATGCTGAAACGGTTGAATTAGCAAAACACAAATGTTTCAACCTAATATGCTGACAGGTTGAACCAGGGTTGGTTCGTTGAAGTGATATTCCTACCCAAAGTAGACATGTGTCTCTGTTGCCATATTTCCCCGATAATTAGGAAAAAACTAGTTGAAACCAGCCCAGGTATTCTCCTGATCCAGATTACTCCTTTAGCTTAGCATAAAACAATAACTCGATACCCCAATTCTACTTGCTGTCCTAAATAATTATACTGACTGCAAATGAAAATAACCACAGGCACCTATTTTGACTTGGGACTACTTTACGACAAAGCACAGCTGTAAGTTTCCGCTGACAGGTGCAAGGACACGGCACCTGCTTCCATGTTGGCAGCCCAGCTCCATGAGTTTCATTTGTCACTTTGATGATTCCTGATGAATGTGTTGTCATAACAGCAACACCTCCGTTTCATTTCAAAAATATGATTAATTCAAATGCAGCGTTTCTGGGAGGAGTGTCTCACACAAACACACACACACACTGTCATGAGTTGGTGTAGGAGGATGTTTTAGGACCCAAGATACAGATACCAGATGAACGAGGCAGAGGTGGAGGATAAAGTAAAAATCCTTTATTAAGGTAGTAATCCAAAGGCAGCGAGCCAAAGTCCAATAAGTCCTGGAGAACAGGAACACTCAAAGCTCTTCTTAGAGCACAAAAACCTGGAGACAAAGCTCAACCAAGAGCACGAAGGCCTGAAGGCAAAAGCTCACAACAGAGCACGAGCAACGCTGACAACATACAACAATGAACCGACACCAGACACAGACAAGACGGAGCTTATATACACAGGGAGAAGTGATTAGGGAAAATGGCGGCAGGTGTGTGGAGTGAGAGCTGGAGGGAAGACAGGTGAACCTAATAATCAAAATGGGCAAACAGAAACAGAGGAGGGCAAACTAAACCTAAAGGCTGCGGGAAGAATTAACACACATACACACACACACACACACACACACACCATCACACACACACACACACACACCATCACACACACACACCATCACACAGACACAAATGCACTAATATAAACAGGAATGGGGAATGGACAAGCACACACACACACACACACACACACACACATTGAACTGGGGAATGGACACACACACACACAGACACACACACACACACACACACACACACACACACACACACACACACATACACACACACACACACACTCACACACACACACACACACAATGAACTGGGGAATGGACACACCCACACAGAGCTGGGGACAAAGAGGCTGGAGCTGCAACTTGGGGCACAGAGGATAACTAAATGAACACTGGACCTGAGGGGATGATAAAAAGGTCTACAAACAGAAGACGCCATATAGAGACACAGACATGACACATGAGGGCGCTAGAGGATACAAAAGGAGCACCTAGAGAACAAATGGAGGACAAAAGGAGACACATGAGATGAGACGCCAACACACACACACACACACACACACACACACACACACACACACACACACACACACACACACACACACACACAAGGAGCAGAATAAACTGATCCGGCATGGATGAACTGTTTTTCAGTCATAATAATGCAGAAGTGTTATCATTGGCCTTCTGCAGAGCAGTTTGAAGAGTCTCCTAACCGTTTTACAGTGTAAACACATTTCCTAAACCCAATTCCTCCCATCAGCACGCTGCATGTGCCTGTTTCAAGGCTACCGGGGAACACAGGCAATTGAAAGTGATGTATTTTGGATTACCAGAGAGAAGCAGCACAAGCAGGTGTAAATCAGGTATATGGTGAAGCTTTGATTTGTTATCTTATCTATGTTTGATGTCACATATGATCCTGAAGAGCACCCCATGTGTCTCTTCAACATTACTTCCACAGACCCACTCACTCCCATCTGCCTGCAAAGTTTTCATCAAGTAGATGTAATTACCCGGGATTCTAGTCCATTTCAACAACATTATATTTGGGCCTGTGTGAAGAAGCCTGCAGACGTGGCAGACGTGTTTACTTCAGCTCCTACTTTCTGTCCTCTAAACCCTCTTAAAACCTGTTTTTCCTGTCAACGATCTCTGGATTCTGTGATTTTGTTGGACCTTTGTTTATTTTTGGGATTCTTTGACTTCTTGGACCTTTATTTGGAATACAGATCTTTTGGATTCGACAGAAGCAGCTCAGCTAAAGTGTAAGCAACCTTGAAGCTATCTTGAATGTCTGTCCTCCCTCTCCTTCTGCCCCACAAGGACGCTTTTATTCAATTCAATTCAATTCAAAAATACTTTATTAATCCCAGAGGGAAATTGATTTGCTTGGTTGAAATTTATTGATTCTGAAGCAAATATAAGAATTGAAAACCGTAAAGAGGATTTACGACGACTCTCTGCTGAACTGCAAAAGGAGGAAATGGTGCTGGATAGATTTAAATCTCGTATTCCTAGACTGTCTGAGACCATTGTCAGTCAGTTTGAAGATAAAACATCCATGTAGGACTCTCTACTCCAAGACATCGTTGCTTGGGATCCATCTGCACCACAAAATCCGACTTCCAGCTCTACTCCTGACCCATTTTCATCTTGGTCAGAGGTTGTGGTACGTGGCTGTAGGAGAGTCCCTGTGATAGATCCCAACCCCCCACCTGACCTCTATGTTTCAAACTGCTTCTCTCCACTTGCTGAGGAACAACCAGCTGATTCCTCCAGGCCTCCTCTTGTCTTCCAACCATCTGATCCCATCCAGCAGGAGCCTGTACTCTGGAAGAAACAACCTCAGCAGTCTCTTCCCCTCCAGACCTCAACCTCTGATGCCCAACACAAAATACTAAAGGATGCTGTGTGTCGACACTCTGCTGGACCTCCTGGCCTGGCTCAGGAGGTGAGCTCCTCCACCTTATACCCTCCAGTTCCTTGACCCCACAGGACCCCAAACCCAGAATCCTCCACTTCTCCACGGGAACACAAATCAGGAGCCCTCCACACCTCGTCCACTGTTTTCATCTACCACTTTGCTGGTGGGTGATTCAATAATCAGGATTGTCCGCTTTTTCAGCGTCATGACGAGATGTTTTCCATCAGCCACCATACCTGCTCTCCTGGATATACTTCCTGGTCTGCTGTGCTCCATCCCAGCTTCAGTCAAAAGAGAGATCATTCATGTGGGATCAAACGATGTTACACGCTGGGAGTCGGTCATCACTCAGCAGCATGTTAACCATCTCTTTGACGTTCTGAAGAGCAGCAGAACGTCTGTTTTCATCTCCGGCCCGATCCCCACAGTTTCTCGTGGATGTGGACGTTTTAGCCGTCTGCTCTCTCTCCACTCCTGGCTTCAGTCTGCTTGCAGGTCCCACAGTTTTGGTTTCATCGATAATTTTAACCTGTTTTGGAACCGCTTCTCCTTTTTCAGGTGAGATGGTATTCATCCTAACCGACATGGCTCAAGCATGCTAACCGCTAACTGTGCATCTATGGTGAATTCCCTTCCACAGACATGACGGTTTACATCCCAGAGATCTTCGCCTTCTTCGGCCTTTGCCCAAACCTCCACTTCATATAACATCACTCCCTACAGTCCTCCCATGATGCAACAGTCTTCTGTGTGTCTCCCAAAGGTCACAATTCCCAAAATGTTGTCTTCTGCTGACAAGCCCAAACCAGCAAAGACATAAACTGTATTCATGGCCGGAGAACCCAGAACACCAGATGTTTACGACCCATCCCTCTCCAACAGGTTAAGAAGACAAATGCTCTCCAGGATTCAGTTCAGGGTGCCCTGTTAAATGCCCGCTCCATCTCAAACAAATCCTTTATTTTAAATGAGCTGTTCACCAGAGAAAAGTTGGACTATTTATTTCTTACAGAGACGTGGCAGCAAGATGGAAATTATGTACATTTCAATGAAACATGTCCACCAAACTGCTCTGTGTTTACCACACCACGCCCGACACGTCGTGGTGGAGGTCTTGCTGGTCTTTAAGGACAAACATGTCTGTAATCTGGTGAAAATGTACCCTTTTACAAATTTTGAATGTCAGGTCATCAAAGCAGGGTTACAAAATGTATTTCACTGTATTTTAATCTACCGACCTCCCGACTATCGGCTTGTGGAGCTCTCGGGAGACCTCTGTGTTCCACCTGGTTTTACCCAGCGGTCAGCCCGGCGTATCTCTGACTCAGAAGCTCTGGTGTTGTGCAGTTAACTCCGGTTGTAGCTAGGTTGCTACCTCCGTTAGCTTAAAAACTAATAGTTGAGCTCGTAAAAGTACAAGACTGCCTAGATGTGAACACTTTATAAGCTACTGGTCCGTGCTGGCCTAGATGTGAAAGCGCCATAAACTCCAGCTCCTGAATGGAAGTCCGTCTTTGCTCTGACCCCGTGCTGGGAACATTGGTTTCCAGTTCTAGATCCAGAACTGACAGCAATTGAAACAGAAAGAGTTGCCCTAAATATCACCTCAGCATGTAATAACGTGTTGTGTAATCAATTCCTTTGTTTATTTTTAGGAGATTCACATTTTGCAGAACAAGAAAGCAGAGTACCTTGAAATGGAACATGACAGAGATGAGGCCATTCTCAGCTTACGGGTAAGAATGACATCACAGGGTACACCTTTAGTAATTACCAAAGCCTTAGATGGAGAAAGTAGCGACACTCTGAACTCGCCGACACACAGTCACGTGGTTCATGTAGCCCTGAGTAGCTCCAAGCAGCTCCGCGTTGCTCGGCAATATGAGCGGCTTCTGGTCGGAATTAACGCTAAAACGACTCTTGGAAAGCAGTCGTTTCCACAGTGATTTATTGGTGATTATTGACCAATGT